GGAAGCAGTGCACCACCGAGTGCCACCTTTGGTGGGGAGGGTAGTATGTTGGGAAGACATCCAGGTAATAGACATATTGTTAGGCATGCCTTGAGCAAGCACTTGGCCCATTTTGTGAGTCTTGGTGAGTACAGATTTTATTCATTTTCCAGATGAAGAGATCAAAGGCTCTGAAAGTGAAGTAGGATTCACATTTAAGTCTGCCAAAAAGTTTAGAAGTAGCTGGGCACTGGTGGCTCACTCCTATAATCCTAGCTACTCAGAGGCTGAGAGATAAGATTGTGATTCAAAACCAGCCTAGGCAGAAAAACCTGAGATACTCTTTTTTTTTTTTTTTTTTTTAAACCGGTCATGTAGCCTGAACTCTGGGCCTGGGCGCTGTCCCTCAACTCTTCAGCTCAAGGCTAGTGCTCTACCACTTGAGCTACAGTGCCACTTCCAGCTTTTTTCTATTTATGTGGTGCTGAGGAATTGAACCCAGGTCCTCTTGCATGCAAGGCAAGCGCTCTACCACTGAGCCACCTTCCCAGCCTTCCTGTGATACTCTTACCTTCAATTAACCAGAAACCTTCCAGTTATTATCTCCAATTAATTATAATAAAAAAGCCAGAAGTATAGCTGTGGCTTAAGTGGAAGAGCACTAGCCTTGAGCTAAAAAGCTTAAAACTCATTCCCTGAGTTCAAGCCCTAGGACCGGCACACACACAGAAATAGTATTGAAAATAGAACATGCCATGAAGGTGCTGAGGCTCCTCACTGAGGAGGGAAGATGGGTGACATTCCCTCCCCCAGGATGTCATTTGTTCCTATTCACATCCTGTGAACTACCCATAGGACTTACAGGCCTTACAGAACAGCCCTGAGGCCACTGCCACCTGGCTCTCAGAATACCTGTCAAGGTTACTTTCTGAGAAACCAGTACAACAGCTTTCTAGTGTGGAGGTGGCAGAGAGAAGGATACCTCACAATCTGGTCTGAGCCCCAGAACCACCTGAGGTGCTGAAAAAACACAGCTCACTTGAGCCCCCTACCAGCTTGGAGATGGGGCCTGATTATGCAAGCTCATTCTCAGGAAAGGGCACATAATCCTTTCACATCTGCCCGCTAGACTACAGAACTCTGGCTCTCTGGCTGATGCAGAGCTGAGAGGCTGTCAGTAGTCAGGACAGAGAACATGACAGAAGGGGACAAGCAGAGCTTTTCCATCCAGAGAGGGGTGTGTTTGGATCTGCTTACCAGAGCCTCCATTCCCTTGTCTGGAAAATGGGTGCAGTGATCCCCATTACACAGTGAGTTAGCATCCTCTTACTTGTCTTTTGCTTTCTGTGCTGTCAATACTTGCAATAAACTGGTATAAAAATATATATAATGGGGAATTACAAAAGCGAGCAAGTCTTAAGTTTTAAATAACTCATATTACAGTATATAATTGCTCATTTTAATGATTAGTTATTGTTGATCTTTTTCTGTGCATAATTTATAATTGAAAGTGTAACACATACATGCATGGGGAGAAAAAAGTCTATCTGGAGTTGCTATCTGAGGTCTCAGATATCTGTGCAATGACTTGGAATGTATTCCCCAACTATACCTCATTACAATGGTCCCCAGGAAAAGGGGCTGGGGTGGGGGAGGGACACCTAAGTCCTGCAGGGTAAAATGCAAGAATTGAAACAGAGCCCTGAACCAGAGCCTGGCCTCAGTAAATGATGGCAATTAGAGCTCATAACAGCAGCCCTATGAGCCGTGGACCTTGGACATACATTTTTTTTTTTGGTGTCAGTACTGGGGCTTGAACTCAGATCCTGGGCACTGCCTCTGAGGTTTTTCTGTTCCAGGCTACTGTTCTATCACTTGAGCTACAGCTCTACTTCTGGCTTTTTTAGTGTTTAATTGGAGATAAGCATCTTGTGGACTCCTCAGCTCTCAGCCTCCCAAGTAGCTAAGATTACAGGCCTGAGCCACTGGTGCCCAGCAACATAATAAACCTTTTCATCTCCACATAATAGTTCTTTCTTTCTCAAGAGAGAAGCCATATCAAGTAGTCATAATAAAGTCCTACTGCTGGACAGCCCAACTGTTTCTCTCAAGCTGAAACCAGTTAGCAATCTGGACAAGTTCTTATGTACTCACCCTGTACCAGTGAGTCCTTGACTCAGGGCCACTGCAGGAGACAAGTTGCAGGAACAAACAGTTTGAAAGTCAATATGGAGATAAAGTACCTCATGCTGGTACCCGCTCCATGTGAGGATTTCTCCCATAATTTCTACCCTCCCCCTCCCCCCCACCTTACTCTGGTGCTGGGGAATCACTGGGGCCCTGCGCATGTGCTCTACCAGTGAGATATTCTCCAGACATTCATCTGTCTGTCTGTCTGTCTGTCTCTCTATCTCTATATGTGAAGGTCTTGCTCTCTTACATTGTGCAGGCTAGCCTTGAACTCTGGGCTCAAATGATCTTCCTGCCTCTGCCCACAAGTAGTTGGGACTACTGGTATGCACTACAGTGCCTGGCTCTAATGAGTTACTACTGAAGCAGCCAATAACTCTGCAAAGGAAATGACTCAAATATGAGTGCAGGTGAGGGGCTATAGCTCTTTATTCCTTTGGCTGAGTCTCAAGGAGGGTCTGCAAGTTTGGTGATCTTGGAAGCCTAGGTGATAGAAGCCAGGTAAGGCCTGAGCAGGACTGTGGACTCCCTGTCTCAAGCATCCTCAGTCACATCAGTAACCCAAGGAAAACGAACTTGCTGATCACACTGGACCATATGGGCGGGTTTGGGGCCTTGGCATCTTGCTCTACTAGAGTAAACTCCTGATTTCCACTGAGATCTGGGCCAGGACTGGAGGCATTTTCTGGATAGCTGTTGATTTACTTAGATGGTCTTTTAGCATATCCTCTCCTAGCACTCCCACTGCCGAGGATCCAATAGCACTTTCTTTTTTTTTTTTGGTCCGGTCGTAGGGCCTGAACTCTGGGCCTGGGCGCTGTCCCTCAGCTCTTCAGCTCAAGGCTAGCACTCTACCACTTGAGTCACAGCGCCACTTCCGGCTTTTTTCTTATGTGGTGCTGAGGAATCGAACCCAGGGCCTCATGCATGCAAGGCAAGCGCTCTACCACTGAGCCACCTTCCCAGCCCAATAGCACTTTCAAACTTCTCCACTCCCTTGGGCTGGGAAGGTGGCTCAGTGGTAGAGCACTTGCCTTGCATGCTCATGGCCCTGGGTTCGATTCCTCAGTACCACATAAGAAAAAAGCAGGAAGTGGCGCTGTAGCTCAAGTGGTAGAGTGCTAGCCTTGAGGTGAAGAACTGAGGGACAGCGCCCAGACCCAGAGTTCAGGCCCCACGATCGAATCCAAAAAAAACAAAAACAAACTTCTCCACTCCCTAGTCCTGGCTTACAGAAGACTCACCACACACCAGGCAGGTGCCTTCCTATGTCCCTGCCTCTCTGGACACTTAGGCTTCCAGACCAGGGAGACCTGTATTGCAAAGCTGGTTCTCAGTCTGTTTACCACCAGCACAAGAAATTATTCCTAGGCTGCAGTGCTCTGCAGAGAGTAATAGTGAGTTGTGTTTAAAACCAGGGAGGCGGGGCTGGGAAGGTGGCTCAGTGGTAGAGTGCTTGCCTTGCATGCACGAGGCCCTGGGTTCGATTCCTCAGCACCACATAAGCAAAAAGAAAAAAGCAGGAAGTGGTGCTGTGGCTCAAGTGGTAGAGCGCTAGCCTTGAGCTGAAGAGCTGAGGGACAGCGCCCAGGCCCAGAGTTCAGGCCCCACGACCGGACCCAAACAACAACAACAACAACAACAAAATAAAACCAGGGAGGTTTTGGAAGGAAGTCGGAGCTGCTTCCCCTGAATTCCTTTGTTTTAGCATCTTTATCTATATAGGGGACAACCATGATTGTCACTCATGTGAGACTGTGGAAGAGATGCACCTATTTGTGTGTGTGTATTAGTACGGGGGTTTGAAGTCAGTGCATAAGTGCTATTCCTTAGCTTTTTTACTCAAGGCTGGTGCTCTACTACTTGAGCTATATATAGTTCTACTTCCAGCTTTTTGTTGGGCTTAATTGGAGGTAAGAGTCTCAATGACTTTCCTTCTGGAGCTGGTTTCAAACTTCAATCCTCAGATCTCAGCCTACTGGTTAAGTAGGATTACAGTTATGAGCTACTGGTGCCCAGCTAGAAATGAATCTATCAAGGACAGTCAGGTCCATCATTATCTTTTTTTTCCAACAACTGAAGTCCTCCTCTAGTAACACCACAGCCTTTCTCTCCCGAAGCTTCCCAATCTTGACAGCCTTCCCTTCTCTTGGCTTCTAGTTGCCTTGTCCCTCTGTGATTTCCTTGATGGCCAGCTTTTGACAGGAATCCTGGGGATGTCTCATGTCAAGTGCAAACTGTTCCTGATAGGTGAGACCTCCCATTCTTGCAGGAATACCATGCTCAGACAAATCTCGATACCTGTCAACCCTACCTTCCTTGGAAGCTGAGGCCAGCCACATCCCTGATAGTTGGAAGTACCTGTAGGTTGCAGTCCCAACCAGCCCACATCATTTTCCTTGGAGTGGCTAGAATTGGGGCAGAAAAGGGGAAAGCCACTTCTATAATGCTGTGGCTCCCCACCAAGGCTCAAAAACCAGCAGAGTACAAGGAAAGTGGGCCAAACTTGTCTAAATGATATGGTTAAAAGAAAGCAGGGATAAGAAATCATAACAGAGTAAATTATTTCAAGAATCCAGACTACTAGCCAGGTGCTGGTGGCTTACACATGTCACATATAAACCTCCTAAGTAGTCAGGAGGCAGAGACTTAGAGGACTGAAAAGTAAGAGATTCTATCTCCAATTAATCATCAAAATGCTGAACTGGAAGTGTAAGCTCAAGAGGTAGAGCATCTGCTGTAAGAAAGTTAAGTGAGAGCATGAGGCTTTAAGTTCAAGCCCTGGTACTGGCACAAAAAAAGAAAAGAAAAAAACCCAGACTATTGAAGACTTAAAGTAACAAATGCACTTTTAATTCATTTCAGATAAAAACTGTTTAGGAAGGACCAGTAACCAATTCTTCCCTTAATGTGTTAGAGCCACATAATCTACAGTATTAGAAAAAAAAAAAGGCATGATATCACTTTAGGTTAAATGTGTGGCTGGCAACCAAGTCCGATCTCTTACATTCCGTATTTCTTCTTTAGTTCTTCTACTTTATCGATGTAAGCTTTCATGGCATCTTCCTTGGACATCCCTGTAATGTATGAACATTATTACATATCAGAGAGAGAGAGCACAGTAGAAAGGTAGCAGGCTTTTGGGTCTCATTTCTCACTTGTAAAGTAGGGGATTACCACACCTCAGAGACCTACAGATGATCACACTTAAAAGCACACAGGAAGTATGCCCAGAGTTCTGCTCCATGATGCTCTGAGCTCAGGCATGGTGGGCTAAGTCCCTTATGATGTAGTGCGGAGCAGTCATCATGAGCCTTATGCCTCCAAGTCAGGCAATTGTCTCTAGAGTGACTTTAATGGTCATGGTGATCTCTTGGTTGGCTTTGGATTATTATCAAGTATCTCTTATTTTTCTTGGATTTGCTATGCTTGGCTGAGAAAAAGCAAAGCCAGTCACCCACTTCTCCCCAGAGAAGCAATGAATAGAAGTTCTAGACTGGGCAAACACAGCTGCTTCTTGGAGGGGAATATGGTGAATCTTTGTCTCCTTCCTGCAGTATAGGAGATAGTGAATATATCCTCAGTCACATGCAGTCTCTTGGATTGTCCTGGGAAGCCAGACCCCCCTGGGACCGGGGGCTTGCAGTGAAGCACTGGAGAGTGCCTGGGGCCTGAGAATGAGGTAAAAATGCCAGATGAAGATGGACAGTCAATGGCATTCCCTCCTTGCAAATCTGACAAGTGCATTTACTGTATTGTGGTCCTTTTGCTGGAAGACAGAGGGCTTATTCAACAACTCTAGCCAGAACACAAAAGCTGCCAGGAACTTTGGAGACAAGTTTTAGGTCTTGGTGCCATGGAGCACGTGACCCAGTGGGAGCCTGAATACTTCTTGGCTGTTGATACTCAGCAAATAATAGCTCCATTCACTAAGCCTAGCAGTGGCTGGCCATGCATTACCTCACTCCCTTCTTCATGTGTCCTTCTGGCTGGAAGGGAACTAGGACAGCCGCTTGGCCACTACCTAGCCTTGTCAGGGAGAAGGGAGGGATGGACAGGAAACTATCATTTATTGTGAACACGTCCAAAGCCAGTGTCACCTCTTAGTCTATTTCTCAGTGGCTCCTCCTCTTAGAAGACACCCCTGCTCAGAGATGATGCTTTCAGAAAAGGAATGAATATCATTAGGAGAGAAAAGTAGGTGGCCCAATTCCCCCTAACTTCCAACTCAGGCCCGGATTGGGCTGGTTTCCAGAATGTGCCTTTTGTACTTTTGTTTCCTCCCCTCTCCCATATACTCTGCAGTGCAGAGACATTCTTTACTGGCTTCCACAGACTGATTAGCATAATCACCTTTCAGCTGATTCCAGGCATCCCACTTGGCTTTGCCCTTGAGGTCCAACAACCCGGGCCGATCTTAAATAAGGAAAAGAAAGAAGAAAAAGACAAGGTGAGACTCGCTTCAAGTTCTGATGGAGAACTTCATCAACTTTCTTCCCAGGAAAGTCATGGTTGTTTCCTTTTTTTTTTTTTTAAACCTTGAAATAGTTTACAACATTAGGTTTCAATTCAACTGATCAGCTTATGTTAATGTCAATCATCTTGGTCAACGTCAACTGTTCCATTATTCTCCTCCATCTTTCCCAATCCCACCCACCCCCTCAAGTTACACAGTTCCATTTTCACATATGTGCATTGAATATAATGATTGTATTCATTTATCCTTCCTCTCTTGGTTTGTTTGCTCCTATTCACCTTAACCTTCCCCTAACAAAACATGCTTTAGCTTCCTGGTATTCATTTTGTTAAACTGATCATCATTTGTTCAGTAACAGCTCTGGAATCCTCCCCTAGTATACCATGTTAGTCAATTTGTATATATTTGCCTATAACTCTATGTATTTTCATGTTTATAATTTAGATCTAATTTCCACATATGAAAAAAAAAGCATGCACCATTTATCTCTCTGAGTGTGGGAAAGCCATCTTTTATTACACCAATTATTTCATGGAGCTTGCAGAGTGGGTTCTGAAATCCAAATTTTAAATCTTGAGAAAAATAGAAGGAAAATTGTCTTATTATAAGAGAGTAAAATATTTAAACTCCAAGAGTTCTCCTTTTAAAAGTAGCACTTCAGGAACTAAAAGCATGGCTCCAGTAATAGAGTAGCTATGAGAGAAAAAGCCAAGTGAGAATGGAAGGCCCTGGGCTCAAGCCCCTAAAAATCCATCAATAAGAACAAAAACAATAATTAAAACAAATATCTACATGGTACAGGATTCATAAACAGCAAAAAGAAGTACTATCAAGCTTTCTTTCTGCCTCTACTCTTTAGACACCCAATTTCCCTCCCTCTACCATCTTTTTAGTTTGTTCTTCTTGACCGGGAGATTTTACTAAGGGCAGACTTGTAATTATCTGATGCTGGGAACCTATCGTTCCCTGGTGTTTATTTCACTGTCAAAGGGAGTAACTACAGTGTCTATGGTTAGAGCAGTGTCTGAGAAAATGCTCAATGAAGCCAGGCGCTTGTGGCTCACACCTGTAATCCTAACTACTTAGGAGGCTGAGATCTGAGGACTATGGTTCAAAGCCAGCCGGGGCAGGAAAGTCCATGAGACTCTTTATCTCCAATAAACCACTAGAAAACTGAAAGTGGCACTGTGGCTCAAGTGACAGAGCACTCGCCTTGAGCTGAAGAGCTGAGGGATAGAGCTCAGGCCCAGAGTTCAAGCCCTACAACCGACAAAAAAAAAAAAGAAGGAAACACTTAATGTGTCCTGTTTCCAGGAAGCATTCCCTGAGATACTTTAAAGAGAATGCACCTTCAGAAAGGCCCCCTTAGATGCCCAGAGCCGCACACCCTGCCAGGCTTCCTGCCATCATGGGAATAGATGTTCTCAATTCACGGGCCACTGAGGCTCCTGAAATATGACTTGTGTGGCTAGAGACTGAGCTGTATGTATGTATGTGTATATGTATGTATGTGCCAGTATTAGGCAAAAACACAAGATTTTCACTTGGCTTTTACACTTGAGACTGGCATTCTACCATTCTTGACTTTTGGCTTTTTGCTGGCTAACTGGAGATAAGACTTTCATGAACTTTTCTGCCTAGTCTGGTTTTGAACGGAGAGCCTAGATCTGATGTCTCCTGAGTTTATAGGCATGAGTTACCAGCACTCAGCTAGACTTTTACTCTATTAATTAAAAAAAAGAATTGGGGTGGGGTGTGTGTGCGCCAGTATTGGGGCTTAAACCCAGGGCCTGGTGTTATTAGCTTCTTTGCTCAAGGCTGGTGCTTTACCACTTGACCCACAGCTCCATTTCTAGTTATTTGCTGCTTAATTGGAGAGCCTCACAGAGTTTCCTATTTAGATTGACTCTGAATTGTGATCCTCCTGAGTATCTAGGATCATAGGCATGAGACACTGGCACTTGGTCAACCCTATTTCATTTTTAACTATTTTCAATTAAAATTTAAACTGCCATATATGGCTACTGAATTGTATAGTTTAGCGCTAGAGAGAGCCAATTATTTCTGTGCTAAGGTGATGATAGACTAGTAGCCTGTCTACCTATATACTAAGTACCTTTCAGCTCTCCTTTCCCTCCCTCGGAAAATACAGTTTATAAGCCTCACTATAAAACTCATCTTTGACACAAGATCTTCCTCAGCTAAAGTCTTGATGTGAACACCAATGTTTGACTTGGCATTGCCAGATCCTTCCCTCTAGCAATCATCTCTCGCTTGTGGCAGGCTAGCAGCCAATTCCACCTGCTCTACCTGCCACCACAGTTCAAGTAGAATTGGGAAACATGCTCAATCTCTACCTGAACAAGAGGGAGGGGGGGCTCCTTCTATACTGCTAATGTATTGTGAAATGCATTGTGCCAATGTCTTTATAGATGCATTTTCAGGCACTTAAGTGAGACTAAAAACTGCCCAAAGCAGGGAAGATTCTATCTCTCTCTCTCTACATATATATACACACACAAACAGATACAAGATATTGATTATGGTAGTGTAACAATGATAGTTTCAAAATCTGCACCGACTTTTGGCTAGTAAACACCAGAAGTGCACACTGTGGCCAACAAAAACATTCTTGATTTTCCCCAGATTACTAGGTGTAGCTCTGCCATTAGACTTTGTGGGTTGCCAGGTGCCCTGACTTTAACCCTGGAAGGAAGCAGTAGCTCAACGAAGCTACTACTGAGTGATAACTTATGACAAGTTACTTCTGTTGGATAGTTTCCTTAACAATAGATGGAAACCCTTTGAAAACCAAGATTGGGATTCTGCTACTCCAAGCATTAGGAAGAGGCCGGGCACCAGTGGCTAACGCCTGTATTCCTAGCTACTTAGGAGGCTGAGATCTGAGGATGATGGTTCAAGGGCAGCCTGGGCAGGAAAGAATGTGAAACTCTTGTTTCCAATAAATCACAGATAAAGATGGAAGTGGTGCTGTGGCTCAAATGGTAGTTTGCTACCCTTGAGCAAAAGAGCCCACCCCCAGAGCTCAAGCCACAGGACTGACAAAATAAGGGGGAGAGAAAAAAAGAATCCTGGAAGAAATATCTGGGGGGAATATCTCCCAGCTTAAACCTCAGGGATCCAATGAACTGTGACCAGGCCTAAAGAGTCAGGCCTCAGATGACAGAAGAGTACAGTTGCCATAGACTTTCACTATGGCAAGACACAAGTTTCTTGAGCAGTTCGACATACCTGTATTTACATCACCCACAGTGGCTTGTTTGAAGTGGCTGTAGATAAACAGCATCTCAGTGTCAGCAGGCTGGGTCTTGAGGCGTTTAACTTCATCAGCAGCCTTGTCAAACTCAGCCTAAGTACACAAGAGGAAGAAGAATGAAGGCTGCATCTGAGTAGAAGAGCATAGATGAGATGAGGATGGGAAGGCAGTGCCCACCTTCCTTCCAGCCTTTCTTCCTTCCCTCCGGCTCTCCCTTCCTTTTTTTGTGCTAGTCCTGGGTCTGGGACTCAGGGCCTGAGTGCTGTGTTTGCACAAAGCTAGTACTCTACCACTTGAGCCCACAGCTCCACTTTTGGCTGTTTTAGTAGTTAATTAAGAGATAGGAGTCTTGCAGACTTTCCCCCCCTGGATTGCTTCAAAGAACGATCCTCAGATCTCAGCCTCCTGAGTAGCTAGGATGACAGACTTAGCTGGTAGCTTCTGCCATGGAAAAGCAACCCACTCAAGCTGGGTCTCCTCTACCCCTACAGGGCAGTTAGAGACTAAACAAGAGTGGACATTAAGTTCTGGTATACTGTATGTACAGTGACTAAGGAAGGAGGCCAGGGCTGGGCCTGCTGTAGGCTCACACCCAGCGTGGCTAACTGCCTGCCCCCTCAACCCTCACCCTCACCCCAGCCTGACACCGGAATGGCTGGGGATCCCCGTGAAGCTCTGGTTCTCAGAGGCGCTGGCTGATAAGGGCGCCGGGCATCTCCGCGGTGCCAGTGGCAGGAGCCCGCTGGCCCCTTGCCCTGGGGCCGGGAAGTTCAGCGTTGACCTCTGTCCCAGTGCTCAGATTGGAGAGCGGAAGATAGGAGGAGCCGGAGGTCGCTCCACAAAGCTCTGCCCGCGTCCAGGGGCCACCGCGACTGGGGTGGGGACTCGAGTCACTCCTCCCGTCCGTTCGCGACTCCCCTCCCCTCGCGGACAGGCGGCTCCAACTTCTCCTGACCTCCAAGCTCCCAGCCCGGGGCCTCCTCAATTCCACAGCCCCCCCCCCCGCCCCGGGCTTCCGGGATCGGGGCGCAGCCCCCCCCCCCGCCTCGGTCCGCACAGCCCTCCGTCCCCCAGCCCGCTCTCTCCGTCTGCGACTCCTGATGCCCGCAGCACCGCCAACTCCACCCCACCGGCGCCTTCCGAGCAGCTGCGGACGTGGGTAGCAGCTTGACACAACTTCAAACGAAAAGTTCTGCTCCCGAAGCCTTGGACGAAGAACCAGGGAGAGGCAGCCGTCCAAGAGCCACTGGATATCAAAACGGAAGACCCGGCGGAGCTCTGCCCGAGGATATTCCCCACACCACAGCCTCCCGCCCTGCCCTGGCTTCGCCGCCCGACCGGGCACGCGCAGTACCTGAGACATGCCGGCGGCGAGGTGACGAGGATCGCCGAGCGCCCGAGACCGGAGCAGCAATCCCGAAAACCTGGGACCGGCTAGCGAGCGCCTTTAAAAGCGCAGCCCAGGCGTTCCCACTGCGGCTCAGCCGAGCCTCAGCAGCCAATCAGGAACTAGCTTTATGCTCGAGGGGTGTGTCCAGACTGGTGGGAGCCCTAGTCCCGCCCCAACCAGGAGGGCCTGATTGCGCACGCGCGGAAGAGGAGCTGCGGGGCATCCTGGGAGCAGGTGGGGTCCGCGGAGGAAGGCGGGAATCTGGTGTTGGGGGCCGAAGGTCCCGGGGGTGGGGTGAAGGGTGAGGGCCGAGCGGCGGGGACCACGGAGCCGTGGTCTTTTTGTTTGTTCCCTTCCCGTCCTCCTCCGGGGCGCGGGGAGGCTGCCGGCTCTGCCTCCGGACCCGTCGCTTCCTCGGTTCGGGAGGGCGAGTGGGTTCCGTTAGTCTCCGGGAATGGCGGCGGGTTGGACTGGGCCCCAGAAAAGCTCTTGCACATTCGCCGATCTGCTCGTGTGCCCGTGGTCCTCACGCCTCAAGCACGTGAACACATGCCCGTGCGCTGCGCCGTGCTCCGGCTGGGCCGGTGAAGGCGGGACCACCTCTTTCCCTGAGCCCAGCAAACACCACGAAGCCAGCCCTCGCTGTTGTAGGCCTTGGGGATGCAGCAGTGGTCAAACATGAATCCTTGCAGTCCTGGAACTTCTAGTGGAGTAGTAGTACACAGTAAGTTTAGGAGTCCTTTGTAGAGGAACAGAAAGTTGGAAGTTTTGTGTGTATGTGCCAGTACTGCCCCAGAGGATTCCCCCCCCCCCCCACCACACACACCCACCCCACCGGGCTACCGTTCTACCACTTAGCCACAGCTCCACCTCTGGCTTTTTTGATGGTTAATTGGAGATGAGAGTCTCAGACTTTCCGCCCTGGGCTAGCTTCAAGCCTGGATTGTCAGATCTCAGCTTCCTGAGTAGCTAGGGTTATAGGCATGAGCCACCAGTAAGAGTTGGATGTTTTAAGTGTGTGTAGTTTGAGGGATGTGACATTTGTGCCAGTATCCTAAGAGGAGGAACAGTGTATAAACCCTTTCTAAGAAGGCAATGAGGGAGGGAGTAGAAAGACATGAAGTTAGCGTTAAAATGATGGCCAGCTAACTAGGTGATGCAGAGGTTGGTCACTTTTCAGGGATATAGACTTTCATTCTGCGGAGATAGAAATCATCAGGAGGCTGTGAGTAGAGATGGTGCGGGAGGGGCCTTTGTAAGGTTGTTACAGAGGCTGATCTGTATGGGAATTGGGAAGCACAGGTGGAGGGAAAAAGTGAGATTTGATGCTTAAGAGCCAAAAAGAATTTTCTAGTAGTGGTCATAGAAGCATGGATGAAGAGAGAAGTGATTTGCCACATTTGTGGCAAGAGGCCTGGACCACAAATATCCACCCTACTCTCCCCCATCCCCCTTACAGCTGTTTACATAGGAATATGGGAGAAGACTAAGGTTAGAGCTCAGAGTTTAGAGGCTTGTCTGACATGTAAGAGGCCCCAGATTCCATTCCCAGCACTTCAAAAAAGGTCAAGTAGAAGCTTTGACATGGCCATTCCTAATTTAATGTAGGTCAGGCTTTATGAAACATTTAAGAAGTGGGAATTGAATCTTAGGAAACAAATCTAGAGTCCTCGGTTTGTGAATAGCTTTGCTTGAGAAAGCGAATCTAAGTAAACATCTTGTAGTTAAATTTGGGAAAATTACATGTGAACTGTGAGAAATGCAAGTTTCCACAGCAACACTTCAGAGCTCCCTCTTTTCCTTGCAGCAGAAATGTTGGAAATGATTAGATAACTTCTGTATTTTTCTATAATGTAATTTTCCTTATCACTTAACTTCTCAGTCACTTGGTGTGGAACTTTACCTGGAGTGAGACATTGTAGAAGGCAAAGCTGGTGAGAGTGTTGACCTTAACAAGACATTGTCCAGTTCAGGGAGGATGGATGTGTTGGTTGGTTGTTTGCAATAGACTTCATTTCCCTAAAAAAATCCTTGGGGAATTTTTTTTTTTTTTTTGGATCCGGTTGTGGGGCCTGAACTCTGGGCCTGGGCGCTGTCCCTCAGCTCTTCAGCCCAAGGCTAGCGCTCTACCACTTGAGCCACAGCGCCACTTCCAGCTTTTTTTGCTTATGTGGTGCTGAGGAATTGAACCTAGCCCAGGGCCTCATGCATGCAAGGCAAGCACTCTACCACTGAGCCACCTTCCCAGCCCTCTTTGTGTATTTTTTGTGTGCACATGAGTTGTTTAAAGCAGGTGAAGAATGGCGTGAGAAAAGACTGTGGATTCAAGGGAGCAGAGTGCCAGTGACTTTAAAGAAAGAGGAAGAGTGCTATTATGGAGCCCACCTTAGGCTAAACTTCAACATAGCTGGTATGAGCCTGGTGATTGGGCCTGCAATCTGAGCTGCTCAGGGGCTGAGATTTGAAGATTGCAGTTGGAATCCAGATCAGGCAGGAAGATGCTCTTATATCTAATTAACCATCAAAACTTGGAAGTGGAGGTATAGCTGAAGTGGTTTGAACACCAGCCTTGAGCAAAAAAAAAAAAAAAAAAAGCTGAGGGATAGCTCCCAGACTCTTGAGTTCAATCCCTAGTAGCAGCACATGGGCATGTATTCACTAACACATGTGTTGGTGTGCTTTTTGGTATATTTTCTGTCCGCTTATTGCTTGGAGATCATTTTTTGGTACCTCATCCTTGGCAAATGTTAAAAGTCTCCTTATTGGTCTACTTCGTGCTTCTAACTCTAGGGAGTTGGGATGAGAGTCAGCTTGTAACTAGATAGTATCAAGCTGGCACTTTTAAAAGTAAACTTCAGCTGGGTGCTGGTGGCTCACGCCTGTAATCCTAGCTACTCAGGAGGCTGGCTACTGAGGAGGCTGAGATCTGAGGATCTTGGTTCAAAGCCCCCACGAGTAAGAAAGGCCATGAGACTTTTATCTCCTGTAAACCACTCAGAAACCCGGAAGTGGCGCTGTGTCTCAAGTGGTAGAGTGGTAGCCTTGAGCTGAAGAGCTGAGGGACAATGCCCAGGCCCAGAGTTCAAGCCCCATGACCGACAAAAAAAAAAAAAAAAAGTAAACTTCAGAGTATACTTGGAGGAGGTTTACAAATTATATGAAACTTTTCTTACATAGTTCTACAAGACTAGAAGGGATCATTGTTTTTTCTAAGTCCTGTGCGAATGCAGGTTCCTAAGCCCTGTTTACAACCTCAAGCTATATCATGTGGTAACTTTTATTTTTTATTTTGCTGGTCCTGGGGCTTGGTGAAGGTATTGGTGCTGACCCTGAGTTTTGCTCAAGACTAGAGCTCTACCACTTGAGTCATAGCACCACTTCTGGCTTTTTCTGAGTAGTTTATTGGAGTGTTTAATGGACTTTTCTGCCTGGGCTAGCTTTGAACTATGATCCTTGGATCTCAGCCTTCTGAGTAGCTAGAATTATAGGCATGAGACACTGGTGCTGCATGTGGAAGCTTTTTTTCACAATTATTTTAATTTTATTTTTCTACTGTTTTTGCCTGGGAGGATAAAGTTCACCATGTATTTTGGTCACTGCTTTATCTCCTAGGGCCTGACACTTCTTAGACTCTCATCTGGAGTGAATAATGTGCTTTTCTCTGAGGGAAGACAGGTTCCTTTTGATAAGCTGTGACCTTGGAAGCCAGCTAAATCTGTTAGAGCTGAATGCAAAATTCTGGGCTAAAATAGAACTATTGCACGTAATCTCTTTGTTTTGGAAGCAGAGCACCTGGAAAGCTAAGGAAGATTGAGGAACCTGACCGGCCAACTTGTCAGCCAAACTGACCCAGCCAGTCAACAGAGACCACTGTCATTGTCTCAGCCTGCCTTCACGCCCATGGGATGTAACTCTGACTGCCCACAGGCTCACTTTCTGGCTCTCAGCTTAAGCCAGAGAGCAAGATAAATTAACAGGAGAAGGCTTTTCTAGCCCAATGGGTGTGAATTGTCATTTGCTATTAGGTTTCTTGGTATAAATGAAACCTCTAATTTCTAAAAGTGACCTAATTGTTAAGAATTGGACTATGGTTATGGGAGCGCCTTACTGCAAGGCAGGGATATGTATTTGTCTGTTCTGCATTTATTTTTCATTTTCATTGAATGTGAGTCCCATGACAGGACTCCAGCTAAGCTGGAAGGAGATTAGTATGTTTGAAAGGGAAGGAGGCACGTGGGAAACGCTTCTGGGATAGGAGTGGGAAAGACATGGGTTTTGTGAAAGCTGAGGGAGGTAAGCGCTGAGGTGCTTGCAGTAGAAAGGCACCCTGGCTTTCCCCAAGGAAAGAAGACCCTTGGCAGCTGGAATTGATAAGAAAGCTTCTCCTTTGTCATGCTTAACCCTTCCTCTGCTCATGTTTAGAGGAAGTGCATCAAGGTGGGCATGAGGGGAATGTTCGTGTATGAATGTGTGAGATGTCCTTGGGCATTGCATTCTCCTTTCCTCCACTTCTAGTTTCTACCAGGCAGCACATTGTGGTGGGTCTGAATTGAGATATGGAAACCTGAAGTTGGCTAGAAGTAAGGAAGGGAAGGTTTCCCGTAGGATTGTTTATCCACAGGTTGGTCATTCACTGGTCAGGTTCTGCTTGTGTTGTGTCTATAAATATTTATAATTAAAGCTAGGGATAAAGCAGTAGAGTGCTTGTCTAGCACATGTATGGACCTGAGTTTGACCCTTGGAACAACAAAATTACATCAACAACAGCAACAAAACAAAGAGAAATAGTTGTGTTTCTAGGCTTATCTTGTTCATCTTCATTAGATGTGTATATTCTCTTGTAAATCAACACTGTGTTCTGTATCTTTGCCTGTTTCTGTAGCTCCTGCTTGCACATGAGAAGCACTTAGAAAGTGCCTTCAAACTAAATCATTAGAGATCAGTTTTCTTAATGACCTCTTTAATTACTTGTTAGCAAGAAAATTAGAGATATTAAAATCTAGCAACTGATAACTTTTGGAATTATAATCTCATTTAAAAAAACCCTGTATTTTGTGATACTG